CGGATGCAACAAATTTCGCGATTTTGGCCCAAACCCGCGATTTTCAGCAAAATCCGCGATTTCCCGCGTTTTTATGTTGTTTTCTGCACTATATCTCACATTTCTATGCACTTTTCACGCAGTGCTTTCCATGATCCTGTAGGTTTTTTGCACAGCACGACTCGTACTACCGTATTATCTCTAATATAAGCACAGTCTCCAATAATAGCACGTCTCCAATAATAGAACACCTTGGGGCGGCATTCAAAAAATAAAGTGCTCAGTCTCCATTATAAGCACACTGTGTAAATTCATTATCTGTGCCGGCAAAAAAAACCCTAAAATGTGTGTGTCATACATGAATTTGGCATGGCAACATGCCTCTGAAATGAGGTTGAAATAATAATGGAACAGTCTCCAATAAAGGAACGTCTCCATTAATAGCACGGGGCGGAGGTACATTGAAAAAATAAAGGACCGTGCTTATATTAGAGATAATACGGTAATCCCAAGTAGATATACGATGCAACAAATTTCGTGATTTTGGCCCAAACCCGCAATTTTCTGCAAATACTTCCGCGAATTCCTGGCAAGTTCTGCATCAGTCCGCACTTTTCGTCACATTTTTTGTTGTTTTCTGCCGCAATTTCTTGCGCAAGTTTTCGAGAGTTCTTTCCGCAAATTCCCGCAGGGACAGACTAGTGAGGTTTTGCATTCCGAATTTCGGTTCGGCGCTTTTCGGTCATTTGTCGAACATCAAAATGTCGAATTTTCGCACCAACGTTTGTTTTGCAAGTCGAAAATGATGTGTTTTCATTTCGTGAGCCCTAGCATCAGCAACGTCCTGTCCCGTGCTCCTATTCTTGCTGATTCCAACGAACTTTGATCGCCCTAAGAGCCGAGGGCCAAACCTGTCTCCTCAGTCGCCTCAGAAAAACCAACTCCATGGCCAAGTCAAATTTTATGAGTATCGCCATAGTCTTTTCAGCCACACGGTGAGGACACTCCAGGCGAAAGAGAGTAGACAAGCAGTGGAGGAGCAATCAGAGGTAGCTGATGACTGATGTCGCCAAAGACGCCTGGGAAGCGATGCAGAGATAAGAAACCTCTTTAAATAAATCCGACGGCACGCGCTAGCGCTCTTCTACAGAAAATTCATCCGAAAAATATTTTCAGCAAAGTGAGCTTTTTCCGAACAAACATGCCGAATCTTCGAAGCTTCGCGTGCATTTTCGACCTCGCGTGCTCGCTCCCGCGTGCCGAATCTTTTTGCAGAATTTTGGAATGCAAAATCTCGCTATTACTAGTAGTACTAATACTAGTAAAGAAGTAGTTACGCTATAATGTCCACTAACACCAGCAGTTACTAAACAATCAGCTCATGCTAACTTTACTTGTACTTCCTTGGTCCTTTTTCTTTTCTATCAATTCATCCTTGGCTCTCCATCCCAGTCCATTATTACTACTCAAAACGGGTTTCAAAATTTTGAAGGACGCTTCACGCAGCTTCATTATACTTGAATCGTTTGCAGGCAACCTGCCTACACTCAAGAGAGCACTGCATTTCACACAAATCCATTGGTATCGTTACAACGTTTCGGTCTTTATGACCATCATCAGGAATGAAGTGGACATGGAAAGACCAGCAGTATAAAAGAAGGAGGCAAGCAAGCAAAGCGCGGTACATACCGGTAGTGACAGCGCGCGTGGAGAAGTGCAAAGCACGTCATGGCGGGTGTGCATTACTACTGTAAAAGCAGAAATTTTCGGTGGTGTAATATTTTCGGTATTCTCCAAAATCGGCGGTTTTTTAGAGGGAAATTTTCGGTAAAACCCGTTTTCCAGGTGAGTGTACTAGTATACAGTCATGTACTACATGATTACAGTATCGGCTGTACCGACATTTTCGATGCGTTTTATTTTCGGTAAAAATTGTCGGCACCGAAGTTACCCAAAATAAAACACCACCGAAAATTTCTGCTTTTACAGTACATGTACATGTACATGACAACACAAGCACAAACGGCGAGGAAAGTAGATACTGCGCTACAGCAGTGATACAAGCCCAGTTCCAGTCTCACACCACCAGTGAGGTGTGTAGAGCCCCGCGCCACTCGCAGGAAATAACAGCTCCTTCTTTTATACTGCTGTTCTTTCCTTGTCCACTTCATTCCTGATGATGGTCATAAAGACCGAAACGTTGTAACGATACCAATGGATTTGTGTGAAATGCAGTGCTCTCTTGAGTGTAGGCAGGTTGCCTGCAAACGATTCAAGCAAAACGGGTTTATTCAAACAATACGACATGGAAAGAAGGAAGAAAACCAAAGATACAAGGGATGAAACTCGACGATGAAATGAAAATGAAAATTTGAAAAAAGTCTAATCCAAAGAAACGCAAGGCCAATGTAACAAGGTTGTGTAAAAGATTCAACTCAATCCCTAGACGAATGCTTTGAAAAAGATGTGAAGTGTGCATGGAGGAAAATTTTATAATACTTTTAAAGAGTCGGCGTGGAGA